CATAACTGAAAAGACAGAAGTGGGTCAGGCATTGGGCACGATCGGATCCGGGTTCAAAATGCTGCCACACATATGCTCGCTCAGACAGCTGTCCTCTTCTGTTGCAAGCGGGTTCTCAATGTGCATTGGAAACAGGCTGCCAGCAACCCCAGACCAGGTTCTTCTAATACAGGGAGACTGTCCTCTGCCATGCTCACCTGCCTAGGAAATGAGTGGCCCATCCCAGGGAGAGAGGGGGCACTCTGATTGCCTGGGCCTGGGTGATGTGCCCGCCTCCTGTGGCTAGGAGGGTGAAGGTGCTGTGAATGGCAGGCCCTACTGGAATTACACGATTGGAAAATGAGCTCAAAGAAATGGGGTGCTTCCAGAAACATGCAGTCTGTTTCCACTTTGGTCCAACATTTTTCTGCTTATACTGGCAAAACCAAGCACCCTCTTGAATCCAGCTTGCAGACAGACATGTCAATGCACTGCCACTCGTGAATCTAGCATGGGCTCCTTCTCCCTCACCATCCTCTGCCTTGCTCTCTGTCTGCCTGACAATCTCCCCTCCTTCTCCTGCCTTTGTTTGCACTGGGATCTTAAGCACCAGCTATAAAGTTCCTGGGATAGAAGCTGCCATTCTCTCTCTAGATGCACCCAACCAAGGATGAACTTTCTCCGTCAGCGGAGAGGGAATTCCCTCTCTAAGCCTCTCCTAAGCCCTCTGACAGCTGCCCTTGAGCCCTCTGAAGACAGAAGAGCTGCTGGTAAGTGGGCTGCCAATTCCAGGTGACATTTGACCTTTCAACTCCAACCAGCTGAGTGGCAGCTGAGTGCAAAGCCACAGCTGGACGTTGACAGCTCTAGGCTGCAAAGAGGGAAATGCAGGGAGGTGCAGGGCCCACCCATCTTTTGGGGGCGGAAGGAATAAGCAGATCTGCTTTGCTTGATATATCCCAGTGCTAGCCAGAGACATCGGGGATAAGCTCATTTACAGTTTTTTCCCCCCAAAACGGCTTGGGCCATAAAATCAAGTGCCCCTTTCCAAGGAGCACAACTCTATTGGTAACCCTGCACATTTGCGCCCAGTCACAGCAACCTTAGCATAGCTAGGAGTCCAGGGCAGGAAAACATAGTGGGGTCACTTCACAACATCCCTAGAACCTTCAGGCTTGGTGACACCGTGATGTCAGGAAGCTGGTCAGCATCTACAGTCCGTTGCTGCTGTTCTGTCACTGCTGCAGAAGCCAGGGGTGACAGGGAGTGTAAGCATGTGCCCAAGAGCATCCTGAACACACAGATGGTGGTGGCAGACGACCAGAGTTAGGACGGACCTCAGGAGTCTATCTTGTCTCACTTCCTTCTTTCAGGAGTGCCTCTTCACCCCCTCATTGGGCTGTCAGCCTAGTGTTTTAAAGGAGGGTCTCCGGGCCACCTTTCTTCAGGGCCCTTTCTTTGGTCACCATCCAGGGCTCCATTTTCTATGCAGTCACTCTCCTTCCTGTTGCATGCTATCCCGTTTTCCTAGTGGCCTCACCCATTTGGAGGCAACGGAGAGAAAGAACACAGTGAAGGGGAGCTGGTCCTGGCAGACAGACGGATGGACTGTGGGCTCATTCTGTGTCCAGGCGTTTATTTGAAGCCTTCCTTTTGCCCTGTGTTTCCACTGGCCCAATTTATGACCGTCAAGTCATGAAAGTATACGCAAGAGTCCATTTTAGAATGTTTAGCTTTTGTCTCGCCCTCTCTCTTTTTGGTGCTGAGGTCCAGGAGGAAGCAGAAGCCAGGGGCAGAGTTTCTGAAGTCTCAGTTCAAGCTCTCCCTCTGCGGAGGGACATCTGATTCCAGAATTGAGCCATTTCTCGGCACCTTGGTCTATTTTTGCAGTAGAGCTGGCTGCCCCATGCCAAGGCTCCTTACCACAAACAGAACTTCTGGAAGGGCCTGCTGGTTTCCTCCGGGCTTTCAGACACCTCTTCACATTTCATTTGGCTTCCCTTCGCTGGCCTCAAAAGGGAATACTTGGAGCCCCTTCTGTGTTGCTGTGACTGCAGGCCCCTCTGAGGCTCTCCAGGGGGAATTCCTTTGGGGCGGCAGGCAGCCTGGCCTGACTCTACGGCTCTGGCCTCCGGCACACCCAGCTGCTGCTCCCCAGAAACTAAGCCGAGAAGCCCCAGGGGTTGCCAGAGTGCCAGTGTGCACCCCAAACTGTAGGCTCAGACCTGAGTGCAAGGGTAAAACCAGCCACCATGCTCACACTCAAGTGTCCCTGTCCCCTCAGACCCCCAACCCTTCCAAGTACCTCTGGCCCTCACCTGTTATTTGAGACAGGATTTGAGAATTCATCGTATAAAGTATAATAGGAAAGTGACATACAACCGAGATACTTACCTACCAGAGGATGCCTGGAGTCGGAACACTCTAGAAGCAATCTCTACGAGTCAAACTGAAACAGGTGGGGGAAAATAGGAGACCACCTCACTAGCTTGTCAACCAGGCAAGAGCTACCTGTGCCCAAGACTGGCTTTGGTTCGTCAGAGTCCACGGTGAGGAGCAGCAGGGGAAAGCCACTTTCTCAAGGCACTTAAGGCAGTGCTTCAGGAGATTCCAGAACAATAACAAACCCAGTTACTTGAAAGAGTCCCAGCTTATGTATCTCAGCTCCTTCGGTCAGGCAGTGTGGCCGTTAAGAGCTGCCTCTGGCGGATAGACTGCCGCTTACTAGCTGTGGGAACTCAGGATGTTTCTAAAGTGCTCTGAGCTTTCCTTTCCCTTCCCAAGGGAACCAAGGGGATAATAATAATGTGCCCGACACATAATAAACCTCAAAGTCTGAATAACAAGTCTCTACGAGAGCTAGACCCTGAACCTGAAAGAGTGACATTTTCCACATGGTCCCAATTATCAAAACTCGAGTCAAACAAGCTAAGAGGCACCGATTCCTAACGTGAACTAGGGAGAGATGTGACCCTGCCCTTGGATTTTCTCCCAGCCGCCCCAGCTTTGGTTTATGAACAAGTGTATGCATTGCCCTTGCAGTCGCGATGCCTCTCCCAAGACCAGTGGCTCCCAGACCTGAGCAGGCGCCTGAACACCTGCAGGGCTGGTTTCCAGGCTGCTGGCCCCACCTCGTGTTTCTGAGTCAGTAGGACTGGGGTGAGGCTCACGAATTTACATTTCTAACAAATTCTCAGGTGAGGCTGCTGTTGCTGCTGCTGGGAACAAGGTGCTTCGAAGGCCTGAGTGTGTCTCTTCATGGCTCTGGGCCTCCATGGCCTCCTCTGCAAGTGACACGATTAACTGGCTCTCAAGGTGGGTGTTTTGGTACCACTACTCAGGATTTGCAGTCCTCTGGCAGGAGCGTAAATTGGAAAGCCATTTGGCCATATATTGGGTTGTCGGAAAAGTCATGAATCATTTTTGCAACGAAAGACATAAAAACATATGTCATGACTTTTCCGACAGCCCAATAGATGGACAGTCTGTACAATGGTTCTGCTCTCTGGTGCTGTGATGCCCCCATGGGAAGCTGTCTCTTGAGAAATAGTCTAAGACATGGACAAAGCCTTCTACTCGCCTGTGGCACTGAGAAGGAGGGGGTGAGAACTCTTTATTCCTAGAGCTGTGGATGGGCAGGGAGTGAGGAGAAGGGGAGTCTGGTCCCAACGCAGTGTACGGACTTCTGACGTAATCAGGAAGTGCACAGATGAGACTTGGGGATACAGAAGGATTCCCACCACCCCAAGTCTCTCAGCACAGGCCACTGTCATTTCTGTGTGTCCCTGCATACGGGCATATGGCAGTATCAAGTCTCCATTAGGCACATGCCAGGGTAGTCAGACATCTTGAGGTTTGAATTCCAGCTCTGCCACTGACCATGACCTCCAGGCGAGTAACTGAACCCACCGGGGCCTTAGTTTTATCTTCAAGTGGGGATAAGGATCTATACTTCAAAAAATTCGTGACGTGCTTAGAATAGAGTGTGCTCCAATATACCTTTCCTGTCGTTATTACAGGAGAAAAACACACAGTGGCATGGAGAAGAAAACCTACTTTCAAAAAGCAAGGATTCAATAGTGGAGGGGGAGTTGACCTTCAAATGGAAAGTCCTAGAGAGTGGGGGGCTTTATGCTTTCAAGGAGACGCTTGCATGAACCAGGGAACTGGGGAAAGACCTCAGTGAGCGCTGACTCCCTGGGGGGCTTTCGGGTCTCTCTCAGCAACTCAGTGACCCTGGGAGGAGGGTGGTGGTGGTCTCGTTTGACAGCAGAGGAAACTGAAACTGAGCCAGCATCCTCACAGGGCTCACAGGGCTCACAGGGCGGAGGACTGAGCTCAGACCTGGGCCATCACCAAGTCCAGCTGCTGAGCGCCGCAGCACAACGCCTCTAATGTGTGGTTTCCTCAACCCCTGTGATTAATGGAAACTCTTTCAAGAGTCTAAGTGGGAATGAACGAATGGAAAAGGGAGACAATGAGGGCTCTGAGGCTCCGTCAGGTGGGTGCTCCTACGACACTCTCCATCAGCGTGCTCAGTGCTTGCTGATTTATACACACCGGGCAGAAAAGGAAGTCCACTGGACAGTGGAGAATTATGGGGGACTACAAAAACAACAAAACACCCAAAGGACCCTCCTTCCCCCCCCCGCCCCCCACTTAGACCCAGCCTCCAAAAGTAGGCAAAAGCCCAAGCTTCTGAGTCACGGTTATTTGTCAAGGTTAACTTGTAGGCACAGAGTTCCAAGATGCTATTTAATTTTTACCCCATTCAATGAATAGAGGACAACCTGTTGGGTAAGATTAGTCCTTCCTGAGTAAAATGAAGGGCTTTGAATTCCCAGCTTCTGGGTATCAGAAATCAGAGGCTGGGCCAAGTGGACAGAGGGGAGATTTTGGAAAGAGACTGTACACTTCTCATCGCCACCTGGAAGGTGGGACGGAAGCACCTTCAGTCTAAGATCCCACCATCCAGGCTCAGAGCACCTGGGAGGGCCACTGGAATAAGAAGCTTTTCCCACCTGTCCTGGTGCTGAGGACACAAAAGGCTGGTAACCAGTCCTCGGGCTGGTCTCGGGAATATGGCAAGATGTTCCCATGGACAAGCTGCATGAGTCGAGCACAGATCCGCACAAGTCCACAATTTGCACACCCAGGCACGGTTCTTTGGCTTCGAGCTTTCTGATCTAGTATCTCCCTTAAAAAAAATATTCATGGAGGTTCAATTTATTTTCTTATGAAACATTAAGTCCCCTCCCCCCCCCCCCCCGGCAAGACACCCAATCAAAGGGCTCTTTTCTATTATCCTGTCTTGTCTGATTAGATTCTTTCACCTAAAACATTTCAATTTTAAGACCCTCTCAGCTGGTGATGTTTTCACCAGGCCCAGCCGCACCGAGAGCTTTCTCAAGTTCAGGTTCACCACATGACTAGAGAAAGCAGGGGGCCGAGACAGACATGGGCAAGTGGCTGAAGACACACTGCACTGCTTTGCTTTTAGCAGCGACCAGACACGCTGGAGGAGAGGGTGGCTCACAACCAGGGGAAACCTGAACTGGCCTTCGGGGATTCTATTTCCTCTCCTTGACAAAATCGGACACAAAGGTTTACTCCATGAATCATTTGGGGAAAAAAAAGATTTCAATGGAAGTCATGAAACTTAAGTCATGAGATTTAAAAAAAAAAAAAAGCATCCCCAAAGACTGCATTATTTTTAACACTCACTAGTTTCCCAGGTCAGGAGAGGGTGGCCTGACCTCAGCAGTAACCAAGGGTCACAGCATTTTCCTTCCGCATGAAGAGAAGGGCTGTAAAATCGTCCAAGCACAGAAAACAATGAGGCCCTCTCTGTGCAGCTGTTCGACGATAAGTAACAGCACATCATAAGAACACACGCACTCAAGACCCACACTTGTTATTAGGTCCATAGATTTTTGCACCAGGCACCAAAGCAACCAACAGTGCTGGCATAATTGGGTACCCATGTGAAATGACAGGTCCTCAACGCCTGTCTCACACCATACACAAAAAAACTAATTCAAGATGAACTGTAGACTTAAACATAAACTCTAGAATTACAAAGCTTCTTGAGGAAAGAGTATCTTTACAACTTGGGAATTTCTTAGAAAGAACGTAGAAAGAGAAAATTGACAAAATAGACATCATTAAAATTAAAAACTCTGGCCCAGTAAGAGATACTGTTAGGAAAATAAACAAGTTGCTGGGAGAGTGGATCGGAATGTTTTCACCACAAAAAAGAAAGGGTGATGTGTGACATGACGGAGGTGTTGGCTAGGGCTACGGTGGGGACCCACTGGCGATGTATGGGTGTATCAAGTTATCACCGTGTCCACCTTAAACTTACACAATGTTATATGTGAGGTGTATCTTAGTAAGGCTGGAAACAAGCAAGCCACAGAATAGGACTAAGTATTTGCAAAACAACTATCTGACAAAGGACTGCTGTTTAGCATATATAATGAATGCCTGCAACTTACTAACGGGGAGACAAACAACCTGATAAAATATAGGCAAGAGAACTGAACAGGTAATTCACAGAGGAATAAATATAAACGGCCAATAAGCACATCGTCATCAGTCATCAGGGAAATGCAAACGAAAACGTCAGTGAGATATATTAATACTATACACCCACCAGGATGGCCAGGCAACACCAAATGCTACTGAGATGCTCATACATTGTTGGTATGAGTACAAACACGACCACTCTGGGAAAGGATCTGAAAGTTTCTTATAAAACTAAATAGTCATCTAGCCTATCACCCAGCAGTTCCACTCTTTGGTTTCTACCCTCAAAAATGACAGCTTTTGTTCTCAACAGACTTGTACCAGAATGTTCGAAGCAGCTTTATTCATCATGGCCCCCAAATGGAAGGAGTCCAACGTGTCATCAATCGGAGAATGGATAAACAAACCGTGAAAGGTGCAATAAAAAGGGAAGAACTATTAATAAATACATGCACCGACAGGGATGCACCTCAAAAACATCAGGCTGAGTGAAAGAGGCCTCACGCCAGAGAGTGATTCTATTTTCATGAAGTCCTAGAAAAGGGCAAACTGATCTGAAAAAATTCAAACTGGTGGTTGCCTGCGGGGGTGGGAGTAGGGTGGGGGTTGGCTGGGAAGACAGGCATTAGAGAATATGCGGAGGTGATGGTAATGTTCTGTATCTTGACATTGTGAAAACGAATAAAGGAAGCCTCATTCCAAATGGGCTCGGGAAGCCATGAAGGGGGAGCCCTCCCCTATGACCACTCATCCGAGCTTGTATATAGTCCAGCAGGAAGAAGGAAGACTTCCTCTCTGACCGGCAACAAGCGGCCCATGCCTGCAGCCAATGAGAAGCCATCACCACTTCGATGCCTCATTTTCCTCTAATGAACTTCTGTTCAAATCAACCCCTCCCAACTTCCTCCTTTCCTCTATAAAAGAACGCACTTCTGCTTTGTTGTCCAGACTTGCCTGTGGTTTGCCATAATTTGCTTGTGCCAAACTGCAATTCCTTTGCTATCCCCAAATGAACTCATTTGCTGCTCGATAACTTTTGTTGTTTAATTTTTAAAGTTGGCAATGTTCAGATTGCATGTCCAAATTTATCAAATGATACACTTCAGATTTGAGCATTTCACTATAAAGTTTATCTCCACTGACCCCCAAATATAAACAAATACTAGACTCTAATGACAAGCATGCTGTCGTACTTCGGAGTAGGAGTTTACTGATGTTTGCAACTCAGAAATGCATCAAAAACTAAGATGAATTGATGGATGGATAGAAGGATGGCTGAGTGGTTATATAACAAAGATAGTAACTGCACAATCTAGGTGGTGAGTAAACGGGTGTTCACTGAACAGTTCTCTGCACGTCTGAAAATTTGCGTAATAAAATGTTGAGGGGGAAATAGATAAATACAAAACTATAAAAATGGACAGAGCCCCAGCTCCAAAATCAAGGAACTACAAAACTCTTTGCAGGAAAACAGGGGGTACCACTCCCAAGCCTGCCCCCAGATTTGACTACTGTATTCCAGAAACCCCCGAACCACAGCCCCATCATCATATGCCCCAGAGCCTCAGGATCAAAACATCGAAGCACCCTCCTAGGGTTCTATGCCCGAAAGAGACATCCAGAAAGCCTCATGTGTATATATGGAGGGGGAAAAGGGCCAACCCAGTTCACCTGTTCAAGTCATTTGATACAGCTGGGGAAACAGGGGCCAAGGCGTGCATGAGGGCTCCGCTGGGTATTTAATTCTAAGCCAAGTTCCACGTGACCACACCTAAGTCGGCTCTGGTTGACAGCAACAGATACAAGGATTTCAGATCAAAAGTGTCATCTTCAAATATAACTACAATTTACTGTGCATTGTGTATGCTGGGCAGCTTACATAATCTCATTTAATCCTATAAGGTAGGTTTATTATTCTGATTTTATGATTGAGGAAACTGAGGCTCAGAGGGGGTACATAACACGTCCAAGAACACAGAGCTGGAGTTGGAACATATGCTCTGGAGCATAGGCCCTTTCTAGGAAGCACGCCTTCCTCAGCCCCTCTCTAGACCAGTCGTGACTGGGGTGCAACCTGTGTTTGCACAGCTTTTGGAGCAGGAAGCATTGGGTTTTGGGGGACAATGAAAAATTCCATTACCTTAGGGCAAGAGGCCTGCTCTCCAGCTGAAGACCTGGGGCTGTCAGACCACCACTGGATCTGCGTTTCCTGGCAAGGCGCCCTCATTAGGCCACAAGCATTTTTCATGTGTACGCCAATCACAGTCTTCGGTCAGTTTTCCCTCTTGTTCACTAGGTAAAAAGAAGTGACAGGCACTACCTGTTTTGCCCTGCAAGTTTTACTGGTGCAGCAGGGTCCAGCAGTGCTCCTTAAGGCCCCTCCCTTGATATCTCCCTTCACACTTCCCCACTGAGCTGTGAGCAGTGACAGCTTTAGAAAAGGCGGAGCTCCTTCCTGCCATGTTTGGGTCTGTAACTTTGTGGCTATCAAACTCCTGGAGAAGGGAGAGGAGGTGGGATGCAGAAAGTGCCTTCAGATCTGAATCCACGTTAACACCACGGATTCTGGATTCTGAGCAGAGCTGTGTGAGCTCAGATTCCTCCCACTGTGGAAAAGATGCAGACCCTCCCACACAGCAGTTACCATGGGACTCAACTCTAGCACCAGGCATCTGACTCCTCGAGGCAGGTATAGGGATTACAGGTACAAAAAGGAAAAAAAGAAAAATCCATAAACACCAGGCTTGGTAACTTACCAGAGATTTTTAGGGGGGATCTTTAGAGAGAAATGGTACCTAGAGATAAAATATGTCTTTCACTTATTACAGAGAGAGAGAGAGAGAGAGAGAAAGAGAGAGAGAGAGAGAGAGAGAGAGAGAGAGAGAGAGAGAGAGAGAGAAATGAAAAAACCAGAATCCTATGAAAATGTCTTTAATTTTCATCTTTTGGAAATACATTTTTCATCTTCATTTCCATGATACAAAAATGTTAAATATCTAACAATGATCTATAGGAAGCAGCTCTACTGAAGTAGATCCAGGAAATCCTGCTGCTGTGTGATCTGCTTCAGCAGAGAAAGGGCTGGTATACGTAGACGTGTCGTGACTTTACACACATGCGCACACACACGCACGCACATGTACACACACATGCCACCTTATCCCCGGTCAGCCATCCAAACACAGGAGACAACCAGGCTAAGACACTGACACGTGAACACAGCACTACAGGTGAAAACAGACATTAACTTTTTTACTTGTCCCACTGTGACAAACTCACGTCTTAGGAAAAATAGCTCTAAATAAATATGCCCCAAGGCCAAGGCATATGTTAAGCTCCTCTCTGGGTGAATGACATCGGTAGAGATTCTCCTCCTGGAAAAACAAGCTTGCGAGCTCCATTTTATCAGGCAGCTAAGGCGGGAAGCAGACGCAAGTGGTTTTTCCACTGGGAGGCCGGGACCACGTGCTCTGACGGCCCCAGCATCTGAGCACGAGACGGTGATGAGAACTTCCTGAAACAGGAAGGAGTTCAACCCCAGAAGCATGATCCCAGCACCCAAGAATGTCGGCTCTTTTTGCATATGTCACAGCCGACATTCCCCATCAGGTGGATTCTTAAACACACTAATTCATGACAGGGAAGGTTTCACACCAACAACAAATAACCAGTTAATAATGTACACATTCATGACAGCTTACGACCATGCTGAGTGTCAGCAGACAGCTTACATTAAAAAGGAAGGAAAAAAACACAGCCACAAAAATAAAAGCTGGGTTGTTTCTTTTCTCAGGACACACGCTTGGTTTGAACCCCAGATACCACACTTATGAGATGCAGTATGGCTTCCAAACGTGCCGGCCGGCTCCTTCGCAGCAACGGCACCCACGATTTGTTTCACTCGGGTCTTGGTTACCACGTGTCAGGAACTTCGAAGAGCTTGGCAGAGCTGTCCGAGATGCTTCCTGGAGGGAAAGGACAACAAGATGAACAAGGAGAGGGGAACAGAAAGGCTGGCACAGGGCAGGGCGGCTGCACGGCCACACCGGTTAAAGCCCACAGACAGGGGCCGGCCGAGTGGCGCAATGGTTAAGAGCTGGCTTGGGATGCCAGAGGGCCCTGGTTCGGATCCCACATATGAGGGCCAGTGACACTGCCCTCCACAGCTAAGATGCTGAACAACAGCTCAACCTGGAGCTGGGCTGCCGTGAGTCGCCGGCGGCGGCGTAGGCTGCAGCCCCTGCTGCAGTGGGTTGCCATGGGCTACCGTGTGTAGCCAGCAACCAGCATGAGCGGCCAGCAGCTGCAGTGAGCGGCCGTCCAGAAGCCAGCGACTGATCTGCCTCGCCCGGGAAGAGCGCAATGATGGTGCCAACTTGGGCCAGTGAAGCAACGTCCTCCACAACTAGACTGAAGAACAAAAGGACAGCAACTTGTCTGTTCCCCTTCCCCCAATTCCCCAGTGCTGTTCCCATCCCTCCAATTCCCCAATAAAAATCTTAAAAAAAAAAAGCGCACAGACAGGTTGTGTCTGTGGAGACCAGTGGCCAGAAAATGGAGGTGACACCATAGACACATCACGGGTAGGACTGACGAGGCGCCTCTCTCCCCACTTGGCTGCCTGGTTATTTTACTTAACAGGTGGCTGCTCACAACACCTCCCGGTGGGCACACTTGCTATATTCTTTGCTAGCCGCCATGTTGGGCACTTAGTTCATTTACTCTTCAGAAGAGCCCAACACAACGGTATCAATATCCCCATTTTACAGATGCAAGAACAGGTTCAGAGAAGCTAGGTGAGTGGCTGAGACTGCATTTGGATCCTTCCACAGCACCAAGCGTCCTGTGACAGTTCCAGAAGGCTGCGTTTCTGTGTTCAGGGGGGTACAGGCATGCAGATGAGAAATCCCAGGGTCTGGTGGCCACAGAGGGAGACCAGCGGGGGTTCAGGGGACACAGCAGGGGCAGAAGAAGCTTGCAGCCTTTTCTGATCTCAGCAACAGTGGCTAAGGTCTTCGTGGACTGAAGGGGCCTCTTCCATTACAAACAGCTTCACCCCAAAGTCAGAAGCCCTTCTTCTCCATCCACGTGACTGTTTGCAGGAGCCACAGCAGTAGCTGCACGGCTGGGTCAGGGTCTGGAGCACCAATGTCCAGAGCTGAGCAAACGGGGACCAAGTCAGGAAAGGGCCTGGCCCTCTGGAAAGTGCGCGGGCCAGGCACCCCTGCACCGCTGGTGTCGTGCAACATTTAAGCCATAAACTGGAGAGCTGGCAGTGACCACAGGCTGAGCCAGCCCCTGAAGCTCACACTCCAAGATTCCAAAAGGGAAGAGGTCGTTCATGAAGCCTAAAATGGGGAGTGGCTCTTAAGAAGAGCTGGGGTTCAGAATCCCACAATGTAGGAAACGGTTCAGCTGAGAGTGGCTGCTGTCACTGACAGGAATGCCTGAAGGTAACCAGGTCTAAACATCTGAAATAAGAGCGAATTTCAGCTAAAATGAGAAGTCGCACTCCTGGCCACTTATGAAGATAAAATCCAGAGAGACAAGATGGATGTGCAGACCAGGAGAGGGGTACTCTGAAGTTTTCTGGGTCTCATTCATTGTGTCGCATGTTTTGGGACTCTCAATAAAGACTGCAAGGCTACTCCTGAGAAGTGAAGGTGGGCAGGAGATGGTCCACGTGAAAAAGACATGATCCAGTGAGAAAAAGAATAAAGATTAAACCCAGACCCACACACACACACACACACACACACACACACACACACACAAGCACTCCCCTCCCCAGAACTAAATATCATAAGACATAACTAGCCTGATCTTCTCACTCACACATTCATACAGTGCTTATCGGAAGAAAGGAAAATAAACATCAATAAAGGCATTTTATGATTCACGTATCAGAGAAATATTACAGCAGCCAATTAGCCATTATAAAGGTAGCGACCACAACACCAAATGTGGGGAACTGAAGTTAGTTAAAACTAGCCAAAGGAGGGGAAAAGAGAAATGGCTAAAAGCAACAGCACTGTCATCCCTGTTTGGATGACTCTGAACAAGTCCCACTGCCCCATCTGTAAGATGGACTGACTACTACTTCATGCGACATAGGACTGCTGTGATACCACGAAGTTCCTGGCACTGAGCAAATTTTTAATGCACATTAGATCCCTTCCCCTTATCAATAAGGTGGCCCAACACTGGACATGAAGCCACAGCCTGCAGTCAGAGATGATACTTTGCAGCTGCTGAGTAACAGTGATGTGGAGAGAGGAACCGGGAACCAAAAAGGAGGCCAAGACCAGAGGGACGCTGGGGGTCACCATCAGTGTTCTTTCTAGCACTTTCTAGAAAGAGAGCACTGTAGACTGTCCAAAGATTGGTCTCAATGCTAATGGATAAGAAGCGATGGCCAGCTTCCCAGGGAACTCATTTTCACAGCCCTTGTTTTACTACAGTACAAAGAATTATTCAGGAACAATTTTTCTTTCTAAACAGATACTTAAGGACATCTGCCTCCTGCTATGATGGACCTCAATTCATACGTCATACCATATACAAAGATGAACTCAGAATGTATTGTATACCTAAGTATAAAACCTGATACTATAGAAGTTCTAGAAGAAAACATAGGAGAAAATCTTTGCAATCTTGAGTCAGGCAAAGATGTCTTCAATACGACACCAAAGGCACAATCCAAGAAAAAGAAACTGATAAATGGATTTCATTAAAATTTAAAACTTCTACTGTTTGAAAAATACTGTTAAGAGGATGAAAAGATGGGTAGTAGACTTATCAGGGTGATCCCTTCATAATAAATTATATAAATGTCTAATCACTATGTTGTACACCTGAAACTAATATAATATTGTATGTCAACTGTGACTGAAAAATAAATAAATTTTTTAAATGTGGAAAGAAAAGAACTCTGTAAAGTGCCCAGAAGACATGAGGGAGAGGGGAAAAGAAAGAGAGAGAGAATATTTTTAAAAAGCACAGCCTGGAAGAATTTGCAAAACACCCAAAAGAACTTGAATCCAGAATAGATAAAGAACTCCCCCCACCACAAACTCAATAAGAAAAAAACGAACAACCCAGTGAAAAAATGGACAAAAGATATGAACAGACATTCCATCAAAGAAGGGATCTGGATGGCAAATAATCACATAAAGAGACACTAAACATCATCAGTCATTAGGGAAATTCAAATCAAAGCCATAATGAGATACCACTACATATCCATCAAGATGGCTAAAAAGGACAATACCAACACGTGTCGATGTGCAGGGCCACCGGAGCCCTCCTACCCTGCTGGTGGGAATGCAAAATTTGGAAAACACTGTTCCAAATAAGTTTCTTGTAAAGTTAAACATACACTTACCATGACCCAGCAATTCCACTGGTAGACATTCACCCAAAAGAAATGTAAAGTTCATACAAAAACCTGTACCCAAATGTTTATAGCAGCTTGATTCTTAGTTGCCAAAAACTGGTAACAATCTAAATGCCAACTGGCAAAATGGATAAACAGCTATCCACCCACAAAACGGAATACTACTCAGCAATAAGGAATGGACCACTGATACATACAACAACACAAATGAATCTCAAATGCATTATGCTAAATGAAAGATTCAAAAGGTTACCTATCGCAGGATTCCATTTACAGGACATTCTGACAAAGGCAAAATTACGGTGGTAGAAAGCAGATCAGTGGTTGCCAGGATCTAGGCGAGGGACTGACTACAAAGGGGCATGTGGGAAGCTTCTGGAATGACAGAACTGTTCCATATCTAGATCACAGGGATGGTTATATGGCTACACACATTTGTCAAAACTCATTTAACAGTACACCTAAAAGGGATGACTTTTATTGAACATACTATATCCTAACAAATCTGTCCCTGCAAATGATATTAGGAATGTTGTTTAAAAGAAAATCCAACAAAATTTTACTATACAATATTATCCAGATAATTAAAATTATCTGACCAAGGGTTTTTTAAATGGAGAAAAAAACAGGATACTAAATTGCATACAGTATGATACCAACAATGGGTAAAAATGATATAGGCAGAGTAAAACATATTAAGAGTATCAATAACTATGAGTTTAATTCTTCTATTTTTCTTCTTTCATACATTTTCATAGTGAGCACATTATTTTTATTAACCAAAACAACAAAAGAAATTAAAACGTGGTAAACACAACAGGTGATTGCTTCTGCTTATTTACCTTTCAACTAACTACCGTGGAATGGGAGAAACTGCGAGGTAAGCACCTCACCTCAGGTGAATCCAAAACAATCTAAAAACCTACACAGTACACTGGAGATGTGCCATCGGAGGATTTTCTAGAGTGGAATTCTGTATACAGAAAGGTCCTTTGGGGTGTCACACAAGTTTTTAACTAGGAAGTGCTCCAAAGGTCCTGATAAGGGGAGGTTTGCTGCCCAGCAGGCAGAGCTCCCCTGGGTGGCTGATGGGGGCCCCAGAGGGCCGCCAGGCGGAGCAGGAACAGGGAGGGCACAGAAACGCCTGGCAGCGCAGCACAGCACACAGCTCCCCTGCCACATTCAGGCTGGAAACCCCACTTTAACTGAGTAACTGACAAGCTCCTTGGGAGGTTACTGGCCTTCCCAGCCTGGTCACTCAGGTGACCGACAGCGACACGGCAGATCTTGTTTCTGACGCTCAGGAGGCCTGGGACAGCACGAGGAGACTGCTGCTCTAAGTAGATCCTAGACTTTTTACACTGGGACCCTAAGGGCTTGAGCTTGAAAAGTTCAGCAGATTAGTCAAGACTCCAATAAAACTCACGGTTCTTGGCAAACACTTTGAAGCCGAATGTGCTGTTTCAAATGCAAGGCAGAGAAAGACGTGGAGCAGCTTCTCTGTTACGTGACAAAATAGTCAACAGGACAGTCGCCGTCTCCCGGCACTCCCTGGTGATCACTGCTGAACGGGGCACTGATGGAACCTCCAGCTACTAGACTGTCTGTCAGGGTCCCCAGAGGGGCCAGTCTACTCAGCGTCAGGCCACCCCCTGGCGGCCCTGTGACTTCCTGTAGAAGTGAGGAGTGAGGCCGAGGCTGGGGCTTCTCCAGACCCTGGGGACACTATTCACTGAGTCAGCAAGAACAAGGGTGCTGTGGAAGCCCACTCATTAAACGCTACCTGGGGAACAGTTCCCAGAGATAGTTTATTCCAGCATAAACGGCACACAGAACTGTTTTCCTTTCTGAACCAACCGAGAACATACCTTGACTTCCTCAGAGGAAAAGTAGATAGCACTGCCCATATACACTAATTATAATAAATATAAAACGAGGGGACTTATATCACACATTTGCTTCCTGAAAATAGGATAGAAACGAAGCATGCGAGAAAAATATTTACTAAGTCCATAATATGCACATGAAACAAGCTCCAAAGGGGCGTGGTCACTTGGATTTTTATCATGTGGCTTCATCATTTGAAAATCCAGGATGGTAATAGTTTCTGATCTAGAACAGCTGCCAGGAATCCTTTGTTCCCTCTAAAGTTTGGATCAATCTGACGCACAGCGGAGCGGTGCAATGTGTGAGCTCTGGGTCAGACAGCCCCCTACATCGGCCATTCCAGCTACACAGAGGGTGCCAAAAAAAAATGTACACACATTTTTAAGAAAGGAAAACTGTATTAAAATTGTAATATTCAATATATACCAATAACAAAAGATGAATAGAAGTCACGTTTGACTTCTGCAATTACAAGAGGTGCTCAAAGTGGTTCCCACCAACGTCCAGACACTTCTGTTTACAGAGAACTACTGCTTGAGCAACGTTGACCAAAGTGTCCACTTGTATACATTTTTTTGGCATCCCCTTTTTGACTTTGCAAGTTTGTAACTCTTTGAGCCTTGGTTTCCTATAGAAATTGAAGATAACATGTATACCTTATTGGGTTTTAATAAGGACTAGACAAGGTAAAAAAGGATGTTCCTAGTACAATGTCTGATACATTGTATAAACTTAATAAGTGATAATTTGGGTCACTGTGTCATCTCCGAAGGGTCTAGTACTTTTCCCTTCGTGTACCTTAGATATTAAAAAGCATAACTAAGAAAACTGACACTGTTTTGTGTGGGGTTTACTGAGTATCACTTGTCCCAGGATTGCCATAGTACATGATATTCTCTGGTCCTACTGTTTTGCTATTTCCTCCCTGGAAAAGGGGAAATGCCCTATAGATGAAGTACTGTCTTTCACGATTGTCACACCCTCACTGACAGTGCTGGACGCCCAACATACCTTTGTGAATCCCCTGAGCACCTGTCAAGATACGTTCCCCAGCAGGAAAGCTCCGATTTGATGCCCCAAAACCTGTCTCTGTAGGACAGATGTACCCCCTCTGTACCAAACACTCAAATACAGTTCCAGCCAATACCCAAAAGGCCCTCACAGTTACTGGTACACTCTGAACCTTAGTTGAATGCAGACCCTTTACAGGGGCTGAACTTTGTACTCTGACTCATTATATTGGGTCGTCGGGAAAGTCATGACACATTTTTGCATTGAAAAACATAGAAAAATAAGTCATGACTTTCCCGACGACTCAATAGAATCTTATTAAAGTAACCAAGCAATCAAAGTCCGTTGATTCGAATAAGTTCAGCAGCACCTGATCCTACATCCTGCTAATCCTATTAGGACTAAACTCTTACAACAAACCACCAGAAAAGGACCCATTAAACTTCCACCTTTGGAAAGTTTTATTGAGTGAATGGTGCTCCAGAGGGAAGCTCAATTCTCTCAAGTTTTCTTATTCAATTAAAACTTGTCAGATGTTCCTCTCTCTCTCTCTCTCTCTCTCTCTCTCTCTCTCTCTCTCTCTCTCTCAGGACTGACAACGAAGTACAAAATCTATCATTTTTTTTTAGCTCACATCTTGTGGCAGTGACAGCTTTACTGTCAATGGGAGAGAAAAAAACCTTATTTTAATGACGATATTATAAATTCAAAACCTCAAATAACTCATATAAAGTTTTCACTTAAAACGATGAAAGTTATAAAAGGAGCTAATCTATTAATGCAGTCAGTCTATTATTAGGTATTTTAATTTTAATACCTTTAAGATTATGCTGAGAGAGAAAAGAAGAAGAAAACATTGAAATCTTGCTCCTGAGAAGTAGCAGATAAACTGAAAAAGTCAAAAGAGAATGAGATGTGAAGGAAAGGAATACAAGAGAGGACTCTCTCCCCAGTCATGCTCAGAGTGATCTCTAAGTCATGCTAACACTTAGTATTTGGCAACTGTTGAGCAGGTACAACAGACAGGGGGAACAGGGTATCACAGATGAAAACTAAGTATGCTACAGGTTAAACACTTCTCCAATACTTATTTTAGGGAGAGAAAGGGAGGCAAGTGAAGGGAGACAGCCTGATTGAAGGAGACAGCTCGAATACACAATCCAGGCTTCAAACAAGAGTTTAAGTTTTCAGGTAAAGTCAGGCGTCAGCAGACTGCACAAAAAGCATAAGCAAAACGTTGCTGCTTCTTTGATTTAATATCAATAAGATGCAGAAAACTTCCTAACGCCAGACTGGGCCACATGCAAAAAACAAAACAAAACAAGGAATTAACTGAAACACAGGCGTTCCTAGGCTGGGTATGAATCGAGTGCCTCTGGTTGTTGGTTCTGCTAACCAAGGCAACTATCAGGGTGAGAGACAAAGAAGAGGAATGGTGGTGCTAGGTCTGCGGCCCTGTTATCCTGAGCAGACAATACAGAACTGTGCTACCAGAGCAGGCTTCCTCATAGGACAGAATTAAGGGCTCTGTGACCTTGGGCAAGGCAGGTAATCCTTTAGGCCACCTGTTCTCTTAATTGTATAACGGCCCGGATGGCTACCTCAGGGTTTTAAATGGAAGAATTTCTGTTGAGCATTAAGTGTGCTGGATCCCTGGCAAGCGCTCAGTCAGCAACAGCTGTTATTGTCACCGTGACTGCTGCGTGGCCAGGTTACGGCCACCTCTGACAAGCAAGCCCCCTCCTCCCTTACACTCTGGCCCTGGGTAGAGCCTGTGCACCAAGGGCTGACGTAGGACACAGACCTTCCATGGCGTGCCTGCGTGACAGAAAGGATGTGGGATTCAGCTCCAAGTGGGCCAGGGCAAACCTGCTGGGTCTGTTTCTTATGAGCTGCATGGACTTGACCGTGTTTCTCCACCTCCCTGAGCCCAGAGCCCTGCGTCACTAAAACAAGGATGGAATTCCCTCCGGTGGGCCATTTGTGACAGTGAAACTCAGTAAGGAGAGAAGAGACTTCTACAGCATCTAGCACACAGTAGGCTCTCAACCTGTGCTGACTTCCTGTTTCCTTTGCTCCTTATATAATTCTGCTTATGAGAGGAATCCAGGCTGCCTGGGGTTTTGCTAGGAACAGTGAAACCTCTGCTACTGAAAATAACGTGAGTAGGAGTAGGCTCTGTGCAAATTTAAATGTACATTTAAAATACGGGGGCTACTTGAAACACATCAGCAAAACCTCTCAAGTATGGAGGGGAGAGAGAAGACACCGAAATGGACTAACCATCTTTAACCAGGAGGCTCCCCGACCAAGCCTTACTTCCTCTTTCAAGAGCCAGGGCTTTTAAGGGGTTCCTCCAATTAAATTAAATTGGTCCTAAAAACCTCTGGTCCCATGGAAGACCACGTGGGCTTTGCCACCAACTGAAGCCCTGCTGTAATTTCTCCCCCAAAACGTAAGTTTCTAGGGCACTGAGGAGTACATAATACCAGAACTTTAGAAAGAGCCAATACAAACCTGCAGGAGAAAGGTCCTTCTTCATTCTTTTAAACTTCTTGGCCTTTTTCCTTCCCTCTGAGGGTGATTCTGCACAGGAATCTGGCTGCTCAAGTTCAGGGTCAGAAATCTCCCCCGATGCTCTGACCTCCATGCCAGCTTCTGCTTGACTGGGACTCCGGCTTCTCTTTCCTGCTGTGCTGGTCGCTGTAGGACTGAAATGCAAACAGTGGAACAACACGAAAGGTGTTAAGAGTAACAGGAAGCCTAGGCTATAAACTATTTTAAGACTCTTAATTCCATTAACACTTAACTAGCAATCACCAACTCAGGCAGCTGCTGCCTGTATGTGCAATTTAAGACTTTCTTATGAACTCCAAAATCTAAGCTGTTCTAAGTGCTTAAAAGAACAAATTTTTAAAGATAATCCCTGGTCTCTATTTTGGTAGACCTACTATGACAAAATAATAGTCCTGATTACCTTAAATCAGAAGCTAGCATTGCTGCCTTCATGACTACTAATGGATACACAGAAGAACAGAAGAAATCTTGGGTCTGTCAGTTATCACACTGCTCGTACATTTGAATACACTTACGGGCATACCCCACCTTCCTATAATTCTCTTCTATTACAAATGGGTGACTTGTCAAATTTATAATGAAACCTGGCTTCTTTTATAGGATTTGACATGTTGAATTAAATCAGATATGTCCTGATTTTTCCTTAACAAAATATGTTCCCTGAAATATAACTTGATAAAAACAGAGTCCACATGGCCAGTGTGAGTCCTGTCTCTTCTAAATGGGTCTTAGAAATAGATTTTTCATTATAGCCCCCAAGTTACGAAAAGCATAAAAAAATGAAGTCATTCCACATAAGACTAGCCACGCATGCCCAGAGGAGGGGCAGAGAAGATGGGCATACAATTTAAGCCTTCCCTAGGAAGTGACTATTTAAAAATGTTACACATAAAAAACTCTGGCTACCCAACTATTCAAAAATCATCAATAGATGCTAGATCTGGGGAGAGATTTTGATAAAGCGTAGGATATCTGCATGGTCTTAAAGTGTCTCTCCCAGACTGACACCCTGAGAAGGACATGTCACTTATGTAGTATTTCGGTCAGGACTGTATAACCTGAATGTAATTATGAAGAAACATCAGACAAACACAAATGAAAAATATTTTACTGAAAAAAAAAAGTGTGTGTTAGGGCTGGTGCTCTTCAAAAATGTCACTGTCATAAAAAAGACTAAAAGAGACATGAAAGCTAAATGCAACACATTATAATAAACCGGGTCTTACACTGGAGGGGAAATGCTACAAAGATAATACTGGATCAGATCATAAAACTGAGGTATGAACAGTAGATTGAAGTATTAGATCAATGTTAAATTACCGACGCTGATAACTGTACTGTAGTTATGTAAAGGAATATCCATTATTTAGAGTATTTAGGGATAAAGGACCATAAGGTATCTAACTTCCTTGCAGACAGTTAAGAAAAAAATAATGGTGTTGGTGGCAAGGGTGGGGAGATGGAGAGAAAAAGGAAGAGAGGGAGGGAGAGTGAACACATTTCTGCCACTTCAAGTCAACAATATATAACAAAAGTAATTCCACCATAGCTACTTGATACAAACAATGGCATCTCATCAACACTAGAACAAAACAAGACTGAACAAAATGACGGGGCCCTGTTGTTTACGAGGAGAGGAAGGGAGGAAAAGGAGGAGAAAAGTAATACCAAGCCCAAAAACGATGGAACAAAAAAGTTACAAAATTAATAATGGGGAATAATGGTAAAGCCGGGGGGCCTTTTTTAAGGTTTGGATTTTTTTCCAGTTAAAAACAAAAAAAAACAATTATTAAAAAGCACGGTGCGTAACAAATAAGGAAAAGTAAATTTCATAGAAGAATATCTTCTGATACCTGTTGTGACACAATCTAAGACTGAAGTGTGTGCGCTTTTACATGACTAATAAATCTATTGTCACCTAATTAATACAAGGAAGACGCTGCCTTGACCACAAACAAAATGTCTCACTCGATACAACTGAATGCCTGTCCAGCCAGCCCGGCTCACACCCTTGGAGTCAGCATCTGTCACTTCTCCTTCAAAGCCAGAGCCCTTCTTCAGAGAAGCTCCTGCCCTCGCGAACCAGTATTCCCCCAACTTAGTAAGTGCCTCCCCAGGCTATCCCCAAACAGCCTCCTGTCCTCCCGTTTCATTCCCATCTGCCGCCAGTCCAGGCCTTCCCTCACCCACCGCAGGCACTCCCTATCTTGCCCCAGACTCAAAGCAGGATCCTAACTGGTCCGTTTTGCCCTCTTCTCCTCTTCCCAGTCTCCCTTCCCCTTCAAAGCCAGTCCTTCTGATGGTGCCAAACTTCTTCGGAAGCAGAGACTTGATCAGGATGTTCCCAGATCAAAAACTCGCATGGCTCTCCACTACAAACCTAAATTTATACTGCCTGGCACGGCACCCAGGCTCCTCTGTCATCTGGGTCCCAATCTGCTTTTCTAGCCTTATCTTCCACCAGGCAGTCGAGTTGTAAAGATGATACACATTTACCTTAATGAATTCCATGACAAGCATGTTCCCATTTATCCATCGTCCTATTGGAGGGCTTATCAGCCCAGTACACCCCGTATTCCCCATTTCAGTCTGCCGTCTGTGGCATTTCTTCCTGCTCAGTCACTGCGGGCCTCGAGAGCGTTCCCTGGTTCCTCTGCCTAGTGTTCTTCTCCGTGCTTCCCGTAACGCTAATTTTGTGTGCCTCACGTGGACTTGAAGTCATCCCATCCTTATTATATGTAACAAACAAAAACTGGGAACAGTGCAGGTGTCCATCAACAGGAGAACGGATAAAAATGGCACATGCATACAATGAAATAAAATGCAGCACATCACTAGGAACTACTGATAGTTGCAAAAACGCGGGTGAATCTGAAAAACATTCTCAGTGAAGAAAGCCTTGACATAAAAGTCTGGGTATAGGAGTATGCTTTTGTCAAACATTAGGTGGACATTCAAAAAACGTAGGGACTGATTGCTTTAGTTTTAACATTAATTGCAAATGATGACTTTGTAGGCATTTGCTGGGATTCGCTGTTGTTATCCTAACCAGAGATTACCGTGGTATGTTTGCCCAACAGGCGTCATTATTCTGCAGTGTTCCTCCACACAAATCTGCGAGTCTACTATGCTTCAGAGACTATGCTAAGATCTTGACTCTGGAAGGTTCTCGTTCTTATATAACTTTAAAGTTTACAAAGCATTTTCATAAACATTTTCTCAATTAATTTGAAAGATATTTCTTAGTTCCTATTCTGTAGTTTCTGCTCTCAAATAAGGATCTTTTGCTTCTTAGGAAAGGCTACTGTTTATTGGACATCCTGCCAGAGAAAACCCTCAGATATGTCTGAAATTAATCCATTTCATATGTTTGCATATGTGTATGTGTATGTAATATCCACACCAACATAAAATCTTCTCAGCTATCATTCTCTGATAAAAATAAAAGTCATGATTATATCCCATATAGCTTAACTAAAGCAGTTTTGAATCAGAAACAGTTTTTATCATATACTGAAAACCAGAGATATATGAAGTACTTACTGCCTTTAAATTTTAATCCTTTATATATTTTTAAGGTTACGGCTGTTTATGTGCATGTGTGAATTATGTATAGACATTCTCAATAGTCTCAATACATGTATGTCGATAGGATACTCCTTTACGGATTGATTTCAAAGGTCAAAAGTCAAAATGATAATCATGCAAAACCACCTCCCATTAGTCTGAGCTCATTCTGTATGCAAAATTATAATGCACGAAGTGAGCTGTTTTATAATGAATATGAAGAACACATTTAAATCCACTAAAGAAGCGGTGACTAATTAAAAAATGAAATGTTACAGACACAACTTGGTATGTCAGAATTGAACATTAAATCTTGATTAAAATTTATATGGGGGATGCAAATGATAAGCCATCCTGGTTATATTATAATGACTCTTAGGTCAAACTTATTGGGTTGTCAGAAAAGTCATGACGCAGTTTTGCAACAAAAAACATAGAAAAAAACACGTCATGACTTTTCCGACAACCCAATAGAGTTTTGCTGTACGATATTAACAATACAGCAACTAGACACGAATCCTACAAGATTCTCCAATAACTTCTTCCTTTTGGTAGAAAAAAAATGTTTGCTAATAGAAAGATCATATTCACAAGCTCCTTCTTCTTGTCAGACCACAAAAATCTGGCTGCCCCATGAAATTTCTCCCCTATTTTTAAATTATGGTATTATTTACAGGCAATGAAATTCACTCATTTTAAGTATACAGTCTGGTTAATTTGGGGAACTGTATATAACCATGTAAGCACTACAAAAATCAAGATATATAGAATGGTACCCTTCCTTTGAAAAGATTCCTTGTGCCACTTTGCACGCAATCTATTTTCCAGCAACCATCAATCTGCTTGTAGTCCCTCTGGTTCTGCTTTTGCTAGAAGTTCATATGCATAAAATCAGGCATATTTAGTCTTTCGTGCCTGACTCTCACTTAGCGTAGTACTCTGAGAACCAGCCACAGAGCTACAAGTATTGGTATTTTATTTCGTTATTGAGTAGTATTCTTTCACAGTATGGCTCATTTATTTATTTACCAGTTGGTAGACATTTAGGCTGCTTCCCATTTTTTGCTATCATAAGTAATAGTACTATGAGGCTTTTCTGAGTCTTGTTTTTTAGCTGTGGTAAAATACACATAACATAAAATGTACTGTCGTAAACATTTTTAAGTGTACAGTTCCGTGCTATTAAGTACATCTACATTGCTGTGCAACCATCACCACCATCCACCTCTAGAACTCTTTTCATCCTGCAAAACTGAAACTATATTCACAGAACACTAACGCCCCATTCCTCCCCCTCCCCGCAACCTCTGGCAACCACAGGTTCTACTTTCTGTCTCTACGATTTTCACTACTCTTGGTATCTCATATAAGTGGAATCATATGCTGTTTGTGTTTTTGTGAATGGCTTATTTCCTCAGCATAATGTCAAGCAAAGTTCATCCATGTTGCAGCATGGGTTAGAATTTTTTTTTCCTTGTTAAGGCTGAATGGTATTCCATTGTATGGGTATACCACATTTGGCCAATCCATTCATCCGTCAATGGACATTAGGGTTGCTTCCACATTT